AGAAGGACCCATCCACTACCACCCTCTGGGTGCGACTCTCTAACCAGTTGGCGACCCATTGGACTGTATGGGTGTCTACGCCACAGTCCCCCAGCTTCCTAATGAGAATGGGGTGAGAGACAGTGTCAAAAGCCTTCCTGAAGTCTAGGAAAACTATATCCACTGCCACCCCTGCATCCAATGATTTAGTGACCTGGTCGTAAAAGGCCACCAGGTTGGTCTGACAGGACCTGCCGCTGATGAACCTGTGCTGGTTGCCCCTGAGCATGCCGTTCCCTGCTGGCTTAGAAGTGTAGCTTAAGATTGAAATGCATGTTAGCATGATTGACTGTTTAGTGAAAAATGTTAATATTGATTTTTAAGGAGAGAAGACTAACTTTTAAAATGTTTGTATTGTAGTATATAAAATTGTCACTGACCTGCATGTGTGAAGCATGGGAAGAAATTTTGATGCAGATGGATTCGCGTCTAACCAAATTTGTCCAGGTATTGTATAGGGAATTATTTGGGGAAGGTGGAAAATTCAAGTATATGACAAAGCTATTACATATTTTGGTTTTGATGCATAGTTGCTCTTCATAATATCCTCTGTAAATTAAAGAGGCAAGTTCTTTGAGGTTAAAAACAGCATTTAAGGTTTAAGTAGTTTTGTCCTGTGTCTTTATATTCCCATAATACTGATTTGTTTTGTTTTTATTAGTTTAAAGGATTCAGCATTGTGCTGTAGTTGTGGTTTGTACCATTTGTGGCTAGTGGCTTTCTCGTTGGATTTGCATCCTCTAACCCAGGGTGTCAGACTCACCCCTCTTCTGAGCCAGATCGGACCATAGGGGTCTTTCTAGGCCGAATCCAGCCCAGGGCACAGGGTGACTGTGGAGGTGTTTGCAGTTCAAGCCCCTTCCCCATGCATGCAGTAGCAACTCTAGCTGCTGCCTCATGCCAGAAGTGGAGCTGCTGCTGCTGGCACATTTCATGCCTTGGCAGCAGCAGCTCCCACTCTGGCACAGAGCACACAGTGGCAACAGCTCTAACTCCAGATCTGGTATGAGGCACACAGCAGCAGTGGGGCTGGCAGCTATGGAGCTGGGGCAGCAGTGGTGGCAATAGGTGAAACGGCTGCAGGACGACTGGAGCTGTATCAGCCCTTGTTTGTCCTTCTGCTGAAGATCTCCATGTCCACCAGGCCCAATGGCCCTGGGTTCTTCAGCAGACAACACCCCCAGCTTCTAGTGGCCTGTTGGCTGCCCAGCAGGCTGGACAGAGCAGCTCCATGGGCTAGATCTGACCATTGAGCCATATGTTTGACACCCCTTCTTTAACCCATTGAATATATTGCTCTTGACAGTAAGCTATCCTTTCCATGAAAATACATAGCTTCAGCATTATGTTTGAAGCTCTTGATTTCTGAGTGGCTTAACTTTATTTTTCTAATAAATAAATATTCCTGGGTAATTAAGCCCTCCTGCTGTAACTACTGTAGCTTTTGAAAAGCAGAACTTGGAGCCTGCATCATCTACTTCAAGTAAACAAGTAGAGCAAAATGTGCATAATGGAGCCATGACCTAGATACCATTGAGTGATTTAAGTTTTGTAGTAGTTGTTAGACTTTAATAAAAAAAAAAAAAAAAGATGAAAAATTGTTTTGTAATTGTAGGTTTTAAATGAATTAAAATAATACTCAGAACTCTCTTTGCTGGAGAAAATTTAGAAATAATAAATTCTTTTTATTTTAGTCATTGAACTGCCAATGATTTCAAATCTATTTTTAGCATTCTATGAAGTATTTTGTTTGTGTGTATTGTAAACTTTAAATATAACAGTAAACTTATGATTTAGATACAATTCTATTTATTTCATTAATTTTGACTGACAGGAAAAGAACACAACCACATCTGTTCAGGATGAATTTATGCAGCTGCTGCTTTGGGGAAAAGCAAGGTAGTTGTTGTTTATATTCCTAAATTGAATTATACCTCAACATTGTAAATGAATATTCTGATAAAATAAAAAAATGCTTGATTTTTTTTTTTTTTTTTTTTTTTT